AGTGGCTATGCATTAGTTGAACATAAATTATATTACGTTTTGTGCTACAGTCATTCCCGGTGTACCACATACGACATGTGCACTTGAAGCCATCTGGCGTATTGGTGCAGTTTCCGTCATTCTGACAAGGACTTGAGGAACAGAAGTCTGAATAATTTACAAGCACAAAAGAAGAACAGTGTTAAATCTTCCTCGCATATAATTAAAGCAATTGGGGTCATTCTTTTAGCCTTGCTTCTGTTTGTCTGTCAGCCTGTAAATCATACGTTCATCCCTACATCAGTGCGCTTGTCTGTTTTTTTTTTGGTTGTTTTTGTTTTTGTTTTTTTTATGATTATTTGATCAGATAAGTACTCGATCGTTTGTTAGTTTTTTAAACTTGTTGTGGCTTAATGTTGAAGGTAACTAAGTTCCTTACGTATATGATACCAGCAATCATGCCCAATGAATCCAACAGGACAACTGCATCTGAAATACGGCCTGTTATGAAGAAGTGAACAGGTACCCCCATTTAAACATGGTGGACTCAGTGAGCATACATCACCTGTTATAACATGGAAAGCAGGAGGTATCATTTAGATTTACCGCCAAGTGGTGAGTTTTGATTGAGTCTGTGAAAAAATCCTTACCAATCTCACACCTATCCCCATTGTATCCTGGAGAACAACTGCAAGTGTAACCTCCGGTTGTTAAGTTACCGTTACAGGTTCCGCCATTTAGACAGGGATGTGACAAACACGCATCTATAGACGTTTCAAGAGATAACTGAACAATTTGCATATGAAGGGAGGGTTCAAGAGAAATAAAGACGAGAACATCAGTGACTGTCTTATGCCCTTTGGTATTTTACTAAATTCCTGCTCGTAATCTATTCTGTAAAGAATCATAAGCAAAGTAGAGCAGCCTAGCTGTGTGCGGTTGTGAATCAAAGTTTATACCTTTTCTTTGTGCGACACTTGATACGGGCTCCACTCTCATCAAACATCACGCGATGGAAGTCTCGATCAACCCACGCGTAATTTGCTAACTTATTTTAGTTAACTTTCGATAAGATGCCACAAAATACTTTGAGTTTTCAAGTTCAATCCAAGCGTAATACGTGAACTTGTATTAATTCAAGGTGAAACCTATTTACGGTACAACGCGCGAAATTCTATATGGAGTTAGGTTACTTTTATGAGGAGCGAGGTAACTTCTACCGTGGAGCGATCTAACTTTTGGTTGGAGCGATCTGACTTGGACAATCTAACCATGAAGCGAAATGGTCGTACGGACTAGAGTCACTTCGCTCCATGGTTAGATAGCCTAGATAACTCTAAAGCATTTTAATCTAGGGTAAATAAATGTAAATCGGAATGTCTCAATAAAAATCCACTGGATTTACAAAACTCAGCAACAACAAAGGGATCGTATTTTTCATTTTACTCTGATTGCAATCGCCTAAGGTTGCTTTCTTTACTCAAAGTTAGTTAATGAAAGGATAGCGAGTGCCTTGGCAAATCAGACTCCAGCATCTGCAATAAACCCCTAGGGGATTTAAATTATTATTAAAAAGGTACCTGGCCAAATGGAATATTTCTATTTGCCTTCGTAATTTGCTTCAAAAATACTTTCAGATCTTAAACTGATCTTGTTTTACCGAAGACTCCTTTTTACCTTTACATCCGTAGAGCTCTACCCTCAATGCTATGTTATTATGCCACTCCGTTGCACTGAAACGAAAGCAACTCGCTCTGACTGGTGGCTTCAGCTCATGATGAACGACACTGCTACTGTCTGTCTTTGCAATAAATTTCTGAAATCGGAAAGAAGGTAATATGTTTTAGATTGATCAACGGTTTATTACTCGCAAAAGCTAAAACTAAAACTTATTTGCCGTGGAATCCACCAATCGCCATTGCTGAAATGGAGGATGAAGCCCTCCGTCTCATCTCCTTTTCTATTCTCTTGAGAATTGAGGGATTAAGTGGTGCTGAGAATCGATATGGATGTCTTTTGATATCTCAAAAATTGAGTTGCTATTACAATTACGACGGTGATAAAATAGGATTAATGTCAATGTTCAACGTTGAACTCTTTCAGAGAAATTCCATACTCACGCCTATCAATTATTCTACTTATATTTCATTCACCTTGGCGTGGATCTCCCCATGATCCTTATAAAACTGGACTTGTACTCCAGCCCCCCAGTATCTTAGCAGGTATTTCTTAACCCATGCTTCTCTTTTACCCCCTTTTCCTTGGGTAGCTACTCCAGTTACCCAGGTCAGCTCGTTCCCTAAATAAACCTGCAACCATTGATTTCCATGGTCCAGTACGGGTACCCATGACTTTGGTTTATTTTTGTACTTGTAGTGTAGTCTTGCAAATCGAGCGATAGAAGATTTGTCTCTTTCCGAGGATGCAATGAGCTGTTGGTCTCTGATTGCACCGCTTTGCATTCCAAGAGGCTCGTGGCACTCTGTAGAAAGGAACAATTACTCGAATATTAAATTTGATACGAAATCAAAACTTTCTACAGAAATGTATTAGCTGTGATGTCAAATGTCGAGTGACATTTTTCAACAAAACTCTCTCTTAAGTTTGCCAGTATTTCCTCAGTATGTCCGTCTGTCCGTCTGTCAGTCCGTCATTTTGTCAGTTGGTCACTCTGTCAAAAGTCAGATTGTCAGTCTGACATCCTAACAGTCTGCCAGGCTGTGCGATTATCGGAGGCAAAAGGAAGAGTGGAAGCCACGTATATATCTAAGGCTATACATTTAATGGGAAGAGGAGCTTACAAAAGCAAGGCCTGAGGTCAACTGAACTGTTGCATAATCACATCAGGATATTCATAAGTCGAGCGCGGTTGGTAGGTAAGAGGATTAGGGGCTAATCCCACACAGGCTATCAATCGTGATATGTTGGTCTGTTTGGCGGTCAGTCTGTTAGTCAGTACTTCTTTCCATTAGCCAGTCCGTCTATCTGCTTTTTCCACTGTGCGTTTGTCCGTTTACCCGACCCTTCCTTCATAATGTAATAGAGTGGCTATGCATTAGTTGAACATAAATTATATTACGTTTTGTGCTACAGTCATTCCCGGTGTACCACATACGACATGTGCACTTGAAGCCATCTGGCGTATTGGTGCAGTTTCCATCATTCTGACAGGGACTTGAGGAACAGAAGTCTGAATAATTTACGAGCACAAAAGAAGAACAGTTTTAAATCTTCCTCGCATATAATTAAAGCAATTGGGAGCTTTACAAGAAGTCGCAAATTTGCAACGTTGTCATGAGGTCTACATGTTTAGTTTTCTCTTGTCCTCTCGATTGTGTTGCTATTTTGGCAGTTTTATTTATCATTTGACGGAGTCAGGGAAGGTTACATGTGCCCACCCCTTCCCCCAAACATGGCTATTTTATGGAGTCACCAACAATTTAGCTTAAGAGCAATGGGATATCAAAGAGAAATGAGATGAGGGATTGTTACATTAACGACAACTCTATAAGTATCTGGTCTGGCAACTCAAGCAACGGTAGAACCGAAAATAAACAGAAGGATTTTACATGGGCATCATAATTTTTTAGAAAGAAAATTCATCGTCTACTCCATTGTACCCTTAAATCTTGGACCCTTACCTTGTAAAATGGCACACAGAAGACCAGTGTACATCGGCGGACATGTGCAGAGGTAGGAGTCAATACCATCACTAGTGCAGGTGCCACCGTTCAGGCATGGATTGATCAAACAGGGATCTGTGCACCATGGATAACATCCGTCAGTGGTTAGCCATGAAAAATTATGAAAAATAGCATCGCCAATAGTTTACAATTCTATGTCAAATGCATTACAAACGTTGAAATATTAACAACGGTTAAGACAGGAGAGGAAAGTACTAAACTCACGTGAATGATTCTTACTTTCAGCCAGCTGGTCAGTCTGCCAGTTAGTCTGTCACATAGGCAGTGGATTTTTCTGTCTTTCTGCCTAACGCATCAGCCAGTAAGTCCGTCCCTTAGTCAGTCAGTCGCGTTCAGTTAGTCAGTGAGTCCGTGGGTCAGTTGGTCAGTTAGTCAGTAAGTCAGTTGGTGGGTCATTCGATTCGTATTGGGTTGGTCAGCATGTCAGATAATCAGTCAGTGAGTCAATGAGTCGTTCAGTCTCTAGCAGCTGACTTCTATTTTTCTTTGGACGGAAGTAAGTTTAATCGATATCAGTTACCCGGGGTAAAAGGAGTACCACAGAGGTTGTCAGTGTACCCTGAGGTACAAACACACTTGAAGTTGTCATTTTTCCAGTCACTGATGCAGGTACCGCCATTTAAGCACCTTTGAACCAAACAAAAATCTGAAAGGAAACAAAAATGTTTTGAACTCAACGCTGGTGCGATTTTCCACTCAAAAGTATCCCGATGTTACATCGCTGGCTCTGATTTGTTTGGCTCGTTGACTGGTATAAGAAAATTGCGACACCCCTCTCAACAATTAGATGCAAAACTGGAACCAATACTGAATCGGCCGCTCCTACTTTCCGTGTTAAGTGAGGTAGGCTTGGTTCTATTTTGTACTCACTGGGTCGTTGGGATGACAACTTTTTTTTCGACAGTCTTACGACAAGCAAGGAAAATATATACTTTAGTAAGGGAACAGTGGGTTGTCCCTGATTCATACTCTGAGTCATTTCTGTTAATCCTCTATCATGCTTCGCAGAAGGTATTGATAATACATGACGGAAATGACTTAACTGTTTCACATTCTTAAGTGTCTTTCCTCCAAAGATTTTATCTTTTAGGTCTTACTTAAAACGACATTTCTTTTTTCGGCTATATTTTTAAGAAAGGCTGATAGTTTCTAAAGAAACTGTTTGGGGCTGCTTCGATGGGGGTAACGAGATAATATAAATATATCAACGAGGTTGAAATGGTTACATGGCCACCGTTACGATTATAAAAGCTGAGGTTTCGAGACTTAGCCCTTCGTCGGAGCGAATATATTTTGAAGCCTCAAGGGGTGGTTCATCGTCAACAAACCTCCTTGACCAAAGCAAAAAGCTAGGATCTTTAATTAATGGAAGGAGTTTCACATTACCTCGACAACCATATAACTCCACTCTCATTGCTATGGAGGAGTGCCATTCCAGCACTACAAAGCGAAAGCTGTTTGCTTTGATGATAGGATTCAGTTGGTGTCTGACAATACCATTACGGTCTGTATTCCCTTGGAATTCCTACAATTGGCAAGATATAATATATAATGAAAAATAAAAGTTTTATCAACACAAGGAAGCTTTAAAAATTGCCTTAAAATATTTTATGGTTAAAAACCTGAGTTTCAAAAGAACGATGCGTTGCATACTAGGGATATTTTTTTGAAGGAGGATTTCTAAGAACTACTGAGAGTGCGACTTAAGGCCTCTGTGCATCTTTGAAAACTGCGAAAAAAGGTTTTGAGAACGAAAACACTGTGCAAATTAATTTGGAACTAGACGGTAATACTTATTCTACTTCTATTCCCAATACCACAACTACTACAACTTCTAATGCCACTACTGCCACAACTACTTCTACCACTACTAGTCCTATTGCTGCAAACATCACTGCTACTACCACTACTGCAACCACTACTGTTGCCGCTACTGCTACCGCTACTGCTACCACCACTACTACCACCCTGAATATAACTACTACAATAACAGCAGCATTGATAGTTGTAGTAACTGCTACTTTTAATGCTGCTGTTATTGCTACTACTAGACTTACTGCCGCTACTGTTACCAGTGCTACTGTTACCACTACTACTACTACTACTACTACTACTACTACTACTACTATTATTACTACTACTATTGGAATGCGGAATGCACATATAGACTCCATTATGCCTAAAGCTGCCACGCGACTCTATATCCTCCGTATTCTCAGATATTCAAATGTGAGTGCAATCGATCTTGTTACTGTTTATGTCACTCTCATTAGACCTCTTCTT